TCCCTATAAATTTGAGGTATATCCTATACTTCACAATGTTAAGAATTTCTATAATCCAATATTATTGAACTGTGATCTCAGAGACCCTCTTAATCAATAAGAATTGAGATCCCATTCACTAGCTTTTGTTGTGGCTTTTTTCCCCTCAAACTCCATTCTACATCCAACAACAAAATACTTCTCCCATTCCACCATCTTTCGCTGTGGCTTTTTTCCTCAATCATGTTTCTACATCCAACAACAAACTTCTTATTTAGGAAGCATATCCATACCACCATGCTACCCACTTTATTTCATTACAAAATGCAAGATATATTCACATTCCCATTTATTGATGATGATGAAGCCATTGCTAGGGACATAAAAAATGAAAGTAGGCTCAATCTTTGTCATCAAGGAAGGATGGTAGATATTTGGTTTTTTAAATACTGAAAGCAAGCACATCACCATAGTATGTATCTAGTCACATACAATAACTAAATCTAAGGTAACATGAGATATTCATATTTTTCAGCTCCACTGACATACATCTATTTGTAAAGTTGACATCATAATAATAATAATAATTACCACAATAATAATAAAAATAACAATGACAACAATAATAACAATAATAATCAGTGCTAATTATCTGTAAGAAACAAACACTACCAAGGCAAGGCTCATTCTCAGCTTGGTGCTACAGGTTCAAAGCCAGTTAGAACCAGGTTTGAGCAATGAACATCAACTTTATCAAGGATTCATACTCTAAAAACTAGTTTAGAACAAAATCAACAAATTCCCCGTTGAAAGATTGCGCAGCAATATCAACATTATCAGTAACTAAGGTCCTTCCTACACAGTAGTAATTCCAAGTATTTAATACAGACCACCAATGACTGAATATATTTCTATCCAACTCAGTACAAGATAAACATGAATTGGTCAACTAGGAAGCAGCACCAAGGAATGCAAAGACAAATTCTGTAGCAGAAGATACCTTATTCATCATGTTCCATTGTCCAACTTGAGGCAGGCAATCCTTTTCTCTACCTGTATCATGGTATTTAAGCTACTAACAGAAGGATCTGATCAGTATTTAAACAGTTGCAACTAAAATCCAAAAAGGAAAAAGAAATCAAACTGGATGAAATCACCAACAGAAAATGATGATTTACCCATGGTGCAGGCAGAATGCGAGCTTCAACTGAAGCAAGCTTCTCACTGATTTTTATTCCAAACTCCTTCGCATAAAGGGTCTTCATGGTATGCATTATGACGAACCGTCTAAACAATTAAAACAACCATATTAGAAAAATAATAAATGACTACTCAAACTTTCAACCATATGTATGGGCACATCTTAATAAGCATTTAACTCTTCATGAACAAATACATAAATTTTATCCGAACATAACAGAAGTATATGAAGAGAATCGAGATGACCAACTCATGTAATGCAATGGTAGTATTCCAGTGAACATGGAAAGTCTGAACAAATTTGTACTGTTTCTGTTTATGGCCAGTCAGAAGTACAAAGAGTAATGAATGGTTATTGCTTAAGTGCCCGTTTACACCATCTGCATGCTTAGTTGTAACTCTTTTATGAAATTGAATGTAATAATACTGCATATATTAATATATTAAATAGTTTTTCGATATTGATAATCACAGTAATAACTGTAAATGATTTTCAATCTAGCAAAATTGATTTATTTGAAAGTTTTGAAATATTTACAAAATAATTGAAATTATTACTCAAGAAATACTAAATTTCATTATCACATAGTTATATCGAGACTGTAATAAGTGCAAGCTCAAAAATAAATGAAGTTAAGAAATTTGCTATTTATACAAGAGTAGACAGACTTTAGGAATCGAACTATGCATGTAATAATAATTTTGGAAATTTCAAAAAAAAAAAAATGAGTTCCTAACATATTGGCAACAACTTTGTCCCACGAAAATGAAGGAACCAATTAGTTCCTTGAAGATTTTTTTTTGTTCTGTACTACCCATCTTTTTGTCTAACCAAACATATAACAGTAAATGATGTCCAATCTTATAATTGTTCTGTACAATTAGTTTGTAGCTTTTGTTCTGTACTATCCATCTTTAATGATGCCCAATCTTATGGTTTTGGTGATGGCAAATGAGAGGTTTGCTACTAATTGCCTCTTGCATAAACCACAAAAGCTACAAACTCCAGAAAGCCACATCACTACTACAGGCATATAACTGAAAGAAAAGGACAACATTAAAGCATTTGATAGCATGCTAAAAGCCAACAGGCAAGCGGAACGACATTCTTCCATGATAGGGCAAAAATAGTAATTAATCCAAAGCACAGTATTCCCATAGTCCAATATACTAAGAAGCAAAAAGATATATTAAAATTAAAAATCACAAAATTAGCACAATTTGACATGGTTTTCAAAGTTGTGTGAACTCTTTTGCTAACAAACAGGAAAATATATTTTTTTAAATAAACAAACAGGAAAATCTTGTAACTAAATTATAAAAATTACCGCAAATAAAAATATCTACCCAAGTAACACACCTGCATGATATCGAGTTCTCTTTCTTTAGGACGTTGACAGGTCACCTTCAGCAAAGCAGTGATCTGTTTCTCATTTAATCTCTTGGAGTACCTCTGACCCTCAACTATCTTGCAAACCTACAGTAAATAACTCATTATAATGCATATAAAACATGCCCATTGAGTATGTCTCTATGGTTACCTCCATAGGTAAATAATTTGGCCTCTGTTGATTTCCAACTTGCAAGCATGGCCATTGAGTATGTTGAATCCTGAACCCATATGTTTCATAGAAATACTCAACCACAGATTTCATGGTACCCCTTTCATCAACTGGAAACCTAAGACAATGGTTCGGGAATAGATGTCAAGCCCAAGCAACATATGAATTTGAATGGCAAAAAGAAGCTTGCGATACATGTCACTAATACTCACGTCAATTCCCGTGTAGCCTGTGATGTTAAACCAGATATACGGTATTTTCTCCGCATATTTCCTCGGTGTGTAACTTCAACCTTGACTCCTCTAAGTGCTTTCTTGATCTGTTCATACAGAATGTAGGGCACTCAACAAAAAGCATCTATAAATTATAATCCACAGTATTTATTCCAATGAGCTGCATTCCATGCATTAGGTTTCACATAGCAAAGGACACAAACAGTGGCACTGCAATGATCGTCTGACTAGCAACAAAAGAAAATTGAAGATAAAAAATGCCAGTGCAAAAGAATGGAAACATAACAAGCTGACATGAGAACAAGTTATGTATTCTTAACAAAGAAAGAGAAAGACAAACCTACCTTTACACGATCAGCATCAGATAATGGTCGAGAAGAAACATCACGATTCAGCAGCTGGGTTACGAACTCAATAACAGCAACGGCTCAATGAAAGCAGTGAGACATATCTATAACATGGTTGACACCACAGTCTAGATTAAGGAACTTGTGGAGAGGCAATCTTACCTATGATCATTTGTGTAGACCAATGACAAAAAGTGAAGGGAAAAAATACTGTACCAATATTCAGGGAGAGTCCCATCTGAGTAGGACGAATACTCTGGTAAAAACCACGCCAGCTTTCCAACCCTTCGCCAAGTGTTTGCCTCCTCCCAAGATCAGGAGAATAAAATGATCGGCCCACAGGACAGTAACTATTACAACAGTATTATCTAGTTAGCAACAACCCTCAAGTGAAGGCATAAATGCCAAGGGAATTGAAGAAACACAACAAATACCGAGTCGTAGGCAATTCACGCAGAACAATATCAAGAACTTGCAGAGCTTCCTGAGGGGCATCAGCCTGCCGGCCCTGCAAGAAGAGTCCTAAATGATGTAGGTCTGCACGTGCCGCAAATTTTATTACAACTTTGAATTCTCGTTCTCTTCTGTTTAAAGAGGAAACATATAATGATTAATATTAATTTTAAAGCTATTAAAATTATAAAACAAATGAAAAAAACAAGAACTTAGTCTGAACCTCTGGTTGCCCGATCCATCATCTTCATCAATGAGAGTTATTCGAAACTCCTTTGATGTGAAAGGAAGCGCCCCAGCAGTATACAGACTTTTTCGGCCATCGTAGGCAGGAAGACGCTTTCCAAGATGGGATTCTCTGTATAACCTAACCAGCTGCTGCATAACAGGCACGGTTGACTCCTCTGGATGTGACCTCCGGTGTTATGGTCACCTAATCAGCATTAAGACCAATAGCCATTAGATTGGATTTAATTGGAGTAGGAACATTTTCAGGCATGGACCTCAAGGATAATAGAACTTACATCATACTGATGCAGGTCTTTGTTGGGTAACTCAGCAAAGAAATGGTTAGCCTTGACAATACACCTTGTGCCAGTAACACCCTTTCCAGGCCGGGAAGGAAACCTCATAGATTTGCTAGAGGGTGGCACAGGTTGAATAGCCTGGCTGGAAGCACCTTCCTGTTGGACAGAAAATTGCTGAAATTGCTGTGTTATAGAAGGATCAGGCAGACCAGAAGAACCCACATCTGCTGGAGTAACCTGAGAAGTCACCACTGCTTGATACACAGGCATGGTTGCTTGGTGCAGCTCGGGAGCAGGTGGTCTGGAGGGTCCACCAGAACCAGGTGTGCCTCCACGGCCACTACCATATCCTCCACGACCTCCTCCTTGTTGAGGTGGCCCTCCTCTTCCCCTACTTTGATATTCAGGAGGTCCACTATACTGTTGGGGCACTCCGCGGCCACGGCCTCCACCATAACCTCCACGTGCTCCTTGCTGAGACTGGGGAACCCACCCCCTTCCACCCTGGTATCCTCCTCCATATTGCTGCCCGGCACTCCTCTCTGTGGGTCGTTGAGATCCACGACCACTTCGTTCTGCCCCTGCTTCATGAGACTCGGAGCTCTCCCCAGCGCCAGAAGGAAGTTCAGTTCTCCTCTTCCTCACCATAGTGATGTCTGCACAGGAAATGGATGAAGAAAACTTAATGAGACAATATTAGAGGCCAATAGCTCAATACCACTAAAATAGCGCCAAAAATACAAGACTGCCTCAGGTGACACTTCGACACCATAAGGACCAACAGAGGTGTCAAAAAGATGAAAACCAAATAGACATAGAATAGCACCCTAACAAATTCTGGGAGTTGAAACAAGGAATGTAGATTGAAATAGCACAGCAATTACCGCTTCTCATAACTCCTAAAAAACACAGACAATTTCAGAAAATGTTTGATTGAAGGTTATAAAAGATTATTCGCTCTGATGAACAAGTTTAAGTAGGACAGAAACCAAATATCCAATAGCAGAATATATGCAGAAACAGATAATAATTTTCACCATCTGCAAAAATCAACTACATGAAAAGCACTGGTGTATTTGCTGTTGAAAAAATATAACAAATTACAGAACACCGTAAAATTAATAAGGAAAAGAATACAAGCAAACCCAAAACATTGGGAAGCCAATTTCAAGGGCGAATAAATAAACTAGTTCAGAAACCCTAAGTGATGCACATGTTATATTATCATTGCCAAAACCCCAACATCAAACTTGCGAAATAGCATAAAATAACCACCATTTGGTGGTTAACATACACAGTGAAAGATCGAGATCAAGATATTCAACAACAGAAAACAAAAGTTCTTGAAAGAAAAATTGTCGATAGCCGGTGAAGAGGTTTTCGGGAAAAACAAATAGAGGAATCCATGCAACTAAACAAAACTAATACAGATCCACCAAATACAGTCCGTAATCACCAAAAAAATGAGCCAAAATCTCAGAAGAAAACCTAGATCGATCCACAAACGTCAAAAGAAAACAAAACAAACAAGTGAAATCGAGAGAAATGACGATCAAAACAACCACAGATACAAGAAAACCACTAGTTTTACCTCAAACCCGGTATCGGGAAACCACTTTCTCGTCCACTGTAAAACTGAAAAGGAAAAGGAAAAGGCCAAGCGTACAAAACTCTCTCTCGCCCTCAAAGAAAAAGCAAGTGAATAGGGAAGAGTACTGCAACAGCTTTACTGCCCCGGAGAGAGAGAAAACTGTAATCCCTAAAAAACTCACCATTCACAGAGTCTCTTTATAAAGGAGGGGTAGGTGCACGAAAATGACAACTCCGTCCCTACCCTTTCTCTCCTCTCAGTCACCGCGAGCCTACCCTTTATTTATGTCTTTTACTGCCATATGGATGCTGAGGTGTTGCCCATCCTCTTTCTCTGTGTACAAAGAGATTTTTATTTATTATTTTTACCTATTTTTAAATATTATCCGACATACATTATTGTATATTTCTATCTTATATCCCAAGATTATAATAATTATTATGTTTTTATTTTTTAAAAAATATTTCAATCTTATATTAAGTGTAACCTCCAAAATTCTAATTTATGGAAAAGAGATGTTAGAGATCATTTCAAATTAGTATAATGTCTTAAACCATAATTTACAAAAAGGAGACGGTAGACGGAAAATAGACGTTAAACACTATTTGAAATTAGTATAACGTTTGAAACTGTAATTTACGGAAAAGAGATGTTAAATATATTTTAAATTAGTGTAACTCATAAAAGGTAATTACATGCAGTGGCACTAAATATTATTACACATATCTTATAACATAATAATTATAAAGGTCATTAACATTAAAGAAAATAAATTTATAATTTAAATGTGAAAGCGAATAATATAGTTAGAGTTTACATTTCTTATACAATAATTTAAAATGTCTAATAGGATTACGAGAATATCTCTTTTAAAAATCAAACATTAATTAAAAAAATAAATAAATAAGCATTCTATGACAACCTTCACTAGCACTTGAAGAGACTCCGAATGGTGAACTACTCACAACCCTCTTACTGATCGGGATCTAAATACTCATCTTCTTGATCTGAAATTGTTAATAAAACTGAGTTATACTACCCCAATAAGAGCATCACATTAATCACATATACGAAAAATTAAATATGGTAAAATAGAAAAATAACTACCGTTACAAGTTTATAAAAATAACCTATGAAAACTCATATGCATACCATTTTTCATTTTTACACATAAGAGAACAAGTGACGGCAATTTTCCTCTCTTACTTGCTTACTGGAACCTCTGGGGGTCCATAGGGATATCCCCCTATTCGTGAACCCAATATCCAATTTTAACAATTAACCGGTTGTCCCCATACCCTGTCCGGTAATGGACGTCAAATATTTCATTGCCTCGATACCTTGTCTGGTATAAATGTGAACCATATCTCCCAAACATTTCCGGTATGGAACTTCCTAGCCCACGTCTGCGTAAGTGACGTTCATGATATGGTTCTTTATGTACTGGGCCCGTCTGCCTTTTCTCTGGGTACCCAATAAGTCATTCACATAAAGATTCTCATCAAGTAAAATAACCAACAAATGCATACCGATATCTCATATTATATTTGTAGATTAATTAGACAACATTTATGTAGATGACATAGTTTATCATAACAAGGGATCGAGTAATCAGATAACCGAATAAACTAGATAAATCGATAAGATAATTAAAACTATAAATTAAGAATATGCACGATATGATAACAAGCAAGTAGGATAGTACAGGAAATAAATAGAAAATCACGATAATTGTGAACTAATCAGTTCCAACTCCACTAGTGACCTGTAATTATTTTTATGATTTTCTTACTTTTCATAAAAATAAAAAATTTTACATCGTTAAGCCTCAATATATCATAACGAGGAATAGAGTGAGAGATCTTTATCCGAATCGGTGTTTCAAGACGTCGCGCTGTCTAACACACCTCCTAACAGGTACTAAATTTCTTGAATTTTTTCTATAGAATCTAAAACACTCGTCACGTACCTAAAAATACCCCAAAAATTCAAAATCGGTGTCCAAAACTCTTTTAAACCAATTTTAAGAGTTCTGTCATGACATCGTCGCCGTGCTTCGGCGCCGGCTCTGCTATCGTCGGTTGTAGTTCACCTCGACTTGACCGATTTTAGTTGGTTTTACACATATCCCTGCAAAATAAAATGTTACAGGTCTCAGTTAGCCGAAAAATCACAGAGAAATTGAATCTACCAGCGGGCAAGGGGGAGGGGGTCTCCGGGTGCGGTGGCTCCACCGGTTCTCCTTCGTGACTTGGGTTCCTTCTTTGGCTAAGCTACATAAAAAAAAGACAGTGAACACAATGATCAAAAAATTGCGTGAAACGAGAAGCGGGAAGGAGCTCATCGGAGGAATTTTTGGATTTTGGCTGCGACGGCTCCGCTAGACTTTGGCCGCAATTTTTGGCTCACATGTTGTCCCTTTTACTCTTATTTGACCATAGGGATACTCAAAATAAAATTTCAGGCGGGTAAGAGAAAATTTTACCTTTTTTAGTGGTCAGCAGTGGCTCTAGTGCGTCGGCGGTCGACAGTCAGCCTCCTTATTTGGCGCTTGATTCTTCTTCTCCGACGGGGGTTGGTGGCTAGGGTTTGGGTTCCCCTGCGACACGAGGTATTTATACTCATTCCGCATCGATATGAGTCATTCATCGTGATTGATCGTGTAACGGCCCCAGAATTTTAAAATGAAATATGTGTATTAAAAAGGTTAAATGCGGAAGCGTAATAAAAATTTTGATTAACATCCCTTACACTAAAACCAAAAACGTGCTCAAAGTATAAAAGAACAAACTAACTAAAAGAGAAACTCGAAAACAAAAACTGTAAATATCGCTACGGAGTCTTTAGGCGTCCCCTTCGCCGTCTTCCTACGGAACGGGCTCGGGAACAATGTCTTCCTAATCTGAAATGGTTAAATAAGGAATGAGCTACACCAGCCCAGTAAAGACATCACACTATCTCAGCGCCACGGAGGTAAAGGTGGGTAGAAAACACAAAAAGACCAATGGAGCATAATTTACAACAAATTCTTTTATCAATAATAAAATCTTTTACTGTCCACTTACCTCGGTGAAGTTCATAAAACAACATACGAAAGCAATAACGTTGTCATCATCATGAAATCATATGAACTGTATAACAGAATACTTACCACGCATTTGCATCTCAATCATTAAACAATATATTTTCCTCATTTACCAGCCTACTAGTATCCATGGGGATCCATAGGGGTCCCGCTACCCGTGAACCCTTAACATTTATAACCTGATTCCAGGGCCGTCCCCAACCCCGTCCGGTATGGGGACC